GAGCTATTTTTCAACAGTAGTCTCAATGAAGTGCACAAAGAGTTGTACAAAAATAGCATTTTATTCATCATATCGACGAGTATTATACTCGCGATACTGACTATATGTACGGTCATCGGCAACATACTAGTGATCGCAGCCGTACTACTGGAGCGCAACCTACGGACGCCCGCCAACTATCTGGTGCTGTCCTTAGCTGTGGCCGACTTCCTAGTGGCCTGTCTTGTCATGCCTTTGGGAGCTGTCTATGAAATCCAGGGCCAGTGGACTCTGGGGGACCTGTTATGCGAATTCTGGATCAGCGTTGATGTGCTCTGTTGCTCAGCCAGGTATGGTATACCACACATACCATACCCTATAATCAAAAGACATTAATTGCATTTCATTACTTTTTGTCTTTATTACGCCATTCCTTTGACGCCTAACCCCTGATTACCACTTATAGTATACTACACTTACTGGCCATAGCTGTGGACAGGTATTGGGCGGTCACTAACGTTGATTACATCCATCAGCGAAATGCCAAACGCATTGGTCTTATGATTGTCAGCATTTGGTTAGTGGCGGCAATCATAGCACTGGCACCTAATTTCGGTTGGAAGGACTCGGAGTTCAAAAACCGGATACGAGTGGGAAAGATATGTCTGGTGTCGCAGAATATCAGTTATCAGATCTTCGCAACGGTGGCCACCTTTTACGGACCACTCATTCTCATACTAGTCCTCTATTGGAAGATATATCAGGTATTTATGGCTTTTAATGGTTGGGTGACTCGATGTGTCACATGAGATGTCGTTCCCATAGGTGGCCCGGAAGCGGATCCGCCGGAAGCCCGGCAGCACTATAGAGGTCCGCAACAGTCATACAGAGACACAGCCGTCGGCACCCAATTCAATACAAACCATATCGACAGCCGTTGACAACAACTCGCAGTCAACAGAACTCAATCACTTGACCGCAAGACTCGCTTTCCACTCGATAGGGCCGCCGATGATGTCCATCGTGACCGACAGGTCCACGTCGACCACCACCTGCACGTCCACCGCAACCAATCACTCGCCCCCTATGTTTAAGCCCATACTCTTGCGATCGAAAAGTACTCTCAAACAGAGCCTCAACTCGAAGAGAGAGAAAAAGGCGGCCAAAACTCTAGCCATCGTTACAGGTATTGCGAGAGTGATAAACAAGTCATTAATCAGATTAATAGCGAATAAAACAATAAAAAGCGCCGCTTTTAGCCAATTCACGACACATTAATCTCATGTGAAATCTGTATTGATTGTTGTTTTCGCAAAAATCATTTTCAGTATCGGGAGTATAAAGTGGTTGTGAAATCGCACTCTTGGTATAAAAGAGTAATAAAAGTGTATTAACTATAATGTCTATAATGAGATGATAGGATAGATATGTCAAAAACATAGCCGTATTAATATTGTACAATAAAAGCAGAATTAATGCTCGCATTTTTCATATTGTCATTTGAAGCGTTTATTTAGCATTAATGTTATGTGATATTCAAATGTCAGGTGTGTTTGTCATATGTTGGGCGCCATTCTTCATACTGGCGCTACTGATGCCCATCTGTTCCACATGTAGTCCACCTCTTCTACTGATAAGCGTATTCTTATGGCTCGGTTATGTCAACTCGTATGTCAGCCCACTATCACAAACGTTTCGCCAAAACTCATTGCAGTCTTTCATTATATCGTTAGTAGGCTTAAAATGATCTAGATAGAAATATACCATTTTCCCAGTTATACATTTTTATAAAAATAATAATAATGAAATAATATTATACAGTATATTATACAGAATTGTAAATATTTTTTCATAAATATTGTTATTACTTAGGATCTGATAAATCCCTGTCCATCCCGTTCTTTACAGTCAATTAAACATATTGGTGTAAAATCCCAGTTTAATTTTGATCTAGATCAAGCTTAATCACAAAACATGGATATAAGAAAACACTTGCAGAGAGTTTTGGAAAAAGTTTTTATATACTCTATGGTCTTAACTGCTATTATCTCTTTTCTATAGGTTATTGAATTGTATTATATATACCATTTTCAGGTCAGTATTCAATTGATAATACTGTGTTAATAATACAATATATACGTGACAGAGAAGAAAAGGAGAGAGAGAGAGAGAGAGAGAGTAGTTTAGATTAACAGAATTTAATAGAATTTTGTTTGTAATTCAGTTTCGGAATACTATCTAATCTCTAATTCCAGTGATTTTTTAGTGACTAAACTTTGAAAGCTTTAGATTTTTTATTATCTCTAATGAAGACAAAGGAAATCAAACCTAATTTCTATTAGTAGTCTCTCTCTTAATATATACAGTATACCAGTATTTATTCAGTAAAATTGATTTATTTGTAAAGCTATTATAATATTTCACATCACATTAACTAAAACACCAGTGAATTGAAGTAAACAAATAATAATAAATAAGATGTAAATGAAAATGAATGCTATTTTTAGTCATGGGTTTAATGTTGTAATAGAAAAAAGCTCTTAATATATGGGAGAATAGGAGGGAAAAGGAGTAAACGGATACAAAATCATAGCATTTAATGCATTATTCTGTGTTGTGTTGACTATTGAGTAGTCACTGACTGTTTGTATTATAGAAGATATGCCGAGAATTAAACAATAGTTTCTGACATTAAAACCACTGACTCTTGCCTTATATGGAGAAGTGTTTTCACAGTCTCTCTCTCTCTCTCTCTCTCTCTCTCTCTCTCTCTCTCTCTCTCTCTCTCTCTCTCATCCAAATCCAAAGCCATACTATTCTTATAGTGAAACTACAATATCTGAAGAATAGACAAAAAAGAAAGTAAGAAACAATTGAATGAGAAAAAGAGTAAAAACAAAAAACAAATGAAAAGAAAACTCATTTACTTTTTAGGCCTTTATTTAAGTTATATTCATTGTGTGGAAAAATAAAAATATAAAATATAACCCTAAGAGAAAACAATATATGAAAGCAATACTGTATTCATAATTCCGAGAGATTTAGTTTTGGATTTAGTTTTGTTATTGATATGGAAAATAGAAAAATAAAAAATTTAAAATGTTTAAATAACTTTAAATTAAACTCTGAAAAACCCATTTCAATATTATAAAACATTTAAGAAATTTATTTTACAATCTCTCTCTCTCTCTCTCTCTCTCTCTCTCTCTCTCTCTCTATTCCTCTTATATTGTACTGTATATATAGGTTACGCCTAATAATGTGTTTTTATGAAAAATCTCATATTTATTCTCATTCATTGTATTGACAATATATTTAGCCCTGATTTCCGGACTGCCTTTAAAAAGCTATTATGCGGTCGCAGTCATCGTTATCGCCATTCATTCAGATAACTCACATCCATATCACTCGCACTCTTCCCCTCCAAAGACCTCCACTTCTAGATGTCTTCAGCGCTGACACAACAAAACCTGTCATCCATTTAATACTCAACTATCGTATTGAAGGGAAAACTTCACTCAAACTGATTGTAAACTAAACCATCTGTTAAAATGTGATTTTCAATATTGTGTCGAAAAACATACATAAAAACGACAAAATAAATATAAATATTATTATACTTACAAAAAAAATCTAGCAAACAAAATAAATAACAAGCAAATAATTATATATATTTAATGTTATGATAAAAATAAATTATTTTAGACTTTATTGTCTCGGAATTTATTTGTTTGTAATTGTTTCATGAATGTTGAATGTAATGAAAAAACATATTTTATTTATATCAATAAAATGCCGGTATATTTATATATAAAAATATTTTTGTTTAAAAGTTAAGTATTAAAAACTAAACTTTAAATTAAATTTCCAAAACGTTTTAGCGATCCGTACGATTCAATTGGACTCAATATTTATGATAGCAAAAATACATGGATACATTTGACAAATGAATACATGTCCTATCAGTACATATTTGGTACCTAAATGTCAACAATATTTCTCGTTTCATTTCATAGGAATGTTTGACAAAATATATGACAACAAAACTAAGGCTTTGAATTAAAAAATACTTTTTTGCCATAAAATAAAATTCTTTCTGTATTTTCATTGTAAGGCTTAGTGTTTAATCCGATGTCTCAATGAACGGTCATTAGATATATTGTGTGCACTTGTAATGAAAACATACAGTATTTGACACAAACATTTAATATAAGTTATTGACAATACTTATACGATTGACTAAATTGCAGTTATCTTATTACATCCACTTATGTTTTCGTATAAACGTTATTACTTTAAAATATTTCACATAAAATAGTTAACTAATTTTCAAAATTTAATAAAAATAGTTTTTGTTGTTTGGGACTAAAATATTTCCAATATAACCTTTTAGAATTTAACATCAATATAATATATTATATTCACAATTTTTGTTCAGAAACATAATTTTATTTAACAATATCATTTTTGATAATTTAAAATAAATTAGTTTTATTATGGCTATTATATTCAGGGATAAGGAAATTATTATTGACAGTGATTATGAGCCAATGGTAACAAAAAATAATAATATAAAAAATACTTTCATCTTATGATCTCAATTGTGCGGATGTTTTAGAGAGATGTGTAATTAATTTTTTGTTCACTATTCCTATTATGTTTATTTACAAAAAAGATTGTTTACAAAAAAGATTGCGAAACTTTATTAACTTCCAGATTATAGATTATTGTCATAAGAATCTTAGGAAAATTTATCTATTTTTTGTAAAAAGATCTCAATTATTATTTTTCTTAATACAGATAATCAGTCGACTGAACAAAATC